TGCTAGGTCCATTGATAATTGCTGGTCCTCATCCCCCGACTTAGAAGCAGCACTCAACAGTCTTTGAAACCTTTCTGGCCTCGGCTTCTAGGATCCATCCCCTCCTGCCGTCACTGTCTCTGGATGATCCTGGTGAGTCTCCTTTGCTGTTCCTTCTTCAGCTGCCTGAATCCTAAGTGTGACTTCCGTCCTGCTGGAGCTTGGACCAGGGACCTGAGAGTGCGCTGAGCAGCAGCCATGCAGTGCGGAGACTGCCACTTACTCTTGGGAAGTTGAGACCGATCAAGGCGTGGGGTTGCCTCCCTGGGCTTGCAGGGAGAGGCCACATTTTACTGTGAACATTGTACCAGGTTTGGTTTTTGTCACTGCTGATAGCTCTAGAAGCTATGGATCACCAAGAGACTAGAAGAAAATAGAGGACAAGTTTGGGAAGTCCACAGAGCATTTTATTCCACAGGAAGAAAAGTGACGACTCTGAGAACCAGACTCCAGAGTCTTAACACACTGGTGACTGTCATAGTGCTTACATAATAGAGAACCAGCTATTTTATTTTTAGAATTTTATCAAGCAGCTACTATGGTATTTTGAGGCACAGATGATACTTACAAACAAAGTGGCCCTGGAGCCTTCGGAACACTGAGGTGAGTCCCCACCAAGCAGTGAGACACTCTAGGGTTAGGGGAGGGGCCGCTTGTCTGTTTCCCACTGTAGTGTCCAGGCCCAGGGCCTGGCTCGCCTTTCAGTGAGCACAGAGAAGCAGCGACAGCCAGGCAGCGACACGGGTCAGCCAACTGTGCCGGGTCAAAGGACTGGGTGGCTTTGGAGAGCTCCCTACCCAATTTCCCCTTATTCCATTTATTTTACTTTCCTCAGAGATGAACTGTGTGTTTGAGGCAGAAAGGAAAGCGGTAGAAATGATCGTAACAAAGTCTGAGACATCGCTGTCTGAATAGCAACTTACAAAGAAACGGGCATTCAAGGAGCCAGGGGCAGGGCCTACTTCCACCAAAGCTTTGGATGTTTTACTAGTGAGAACCAGGAGGGGATGTCAAATGCCCCTGAAACCTTCTGGCCATGTCTGGCCCAGGGCTGCAGAGCAGGGAGAGCTGAGAAGTGGAGCAGCCAACAGTGGCCCTTCCACCTCCTACCTAGCCCTACCCTAGTTGATCTTTGGATTCCATTTTAACATCTGCCTCTCCTAAGGTGCAAATGTCAAAGTGCTTGGTTATGCAATCACAGGAGATGGGCAACTATTTAAAGAGCTGATTAAAATTAGAAAGGAGCCAGAGGAGGGCATCTAAACACTTCTCTGGATTCTTCCTAAAGCACCAGCCCACAGGGCAGCCCACAACTAAGCTTCCTGCAGTCAGATCTGAGAATCCCCCGAGCTGCTGTGGCCCAAAGCAGATTCTTTAGTAATACTAAACTCCTTAATCTCATCAAGAAATTTCAAGTGACTTTGTTCCAGAAGGCGACAGAAAGCTCGCTGACACATACAATCAACCCTTCTGAGAGTCTCATCTTTTAAGAGATCATGATCTCAGGCAGTGGGTTACTGATGACAAAAACCACAAGCCAAACTCGTGGGGGTGCAAGGAGGGAGGCTGAGGAGGAAGTGGGGAGGAGCTGCCACTTGGCTGCCTTCTGCTGCGATCTTGAGCAGTGCATGAGTGCTGATACAATCATGACTAACCCCCAGCAAGACACAAACAAACTAAAACCCACCCAATGCTGCAAAAGCCAAGTTTCTATTCTGCAATCCACTCACTTGGAGTTCAGTGAAGGCTCTCCAAGCCTCAGTTTAAGAAAGCTGATCCTTGAACACTAGGTAGCTAAAGCACTTGTGCTAAAGCTCCCTTCCTTCCTCTCTGCATTTGTGCACGTGGGCACACACACACACACACACACACACACACAAACACACAGACACTGAGGGGAAGTGGGAAAGGAAAGCGGGGAAGGAGATTAGCTTCATTTGTGTCTTGGAAGGATTTGGGTCATGAGTTATAAACACCAAAACCTTCCACGCATCCACTGAGTCATCCCAGACTCAGCTACATGTGACAAGGTTGTAGAAATTGATTAGCTTTATTAAAATAAAAATTTAAAAATCACAAGGTGAGTCATTCATTCTAAAGTCAGGCCCTTTTTCCCCTCTCCCTATTGGCTTAATCCTTACAGAAAAGAGAAACACTGAAAACAAGACCCAGGGTGCTCATACCAAGCCTTGCTCCCAGCTGGAATTTAAAACCGAGGATAAGAGATGCTTTCATCAAATCTTGGTTCCACGAAAAGTTTACAAATACAGCTTTTTCATACTCCTATTTCATCCCCCTCTCTGGAACTCTTCCCCCATCCTTTCTCATCCTGGGGTTACCATCCCTGTGTCCCCTCGGGCTGTGGAGCTGCGATGCCTGCATGTGACTTTATTAAAAAGAAAAGAGTCCCAGGGCTTTGTTCTTGGTGCCCAGGAAGGAGAGCACGCTTATGTGGATTTCTGATTTGTTGCAACAGTTCAATGGGATTTTTCTTCTCCTTTTCAATCAACAGAGTTTACCCATGTTTCAAACCTCTCTAGTAATAACCTGAGAAAACTGAGAATGCTGATTTGCATGTGTGTGGTAGCAGAATACAGGTTTCCCTCCAAGTTTGGTTAAGACTAGTTAGGAAAAAGCCAAACAGGTAACTTACATCATTTGTGAGAATCTAAGCACTCTTTGTAAAATGGGGGTGAGAAATTAAAGGTGGGCTCCCAAGCCCCTCTCCTAGATCCTTCGGAAGGGCCAGCGCCAGTCCTGGGGGCTGCCACTCACGGCCCAATTGGACAGCCATGATGTCAGAGGCGTCCCTCCTCAGGGACACGGCTCTCACCTCAACCCACTTTCCTGGAAATACTTTAGTCTCCAAAACTAAGACATAACATTCTCTAACTTTTAAGAATGACTTTCTATAGACAGTATCCTGAATTAGACATGTAGGATTAGTGCAATAGAAGATCCAATATAATTTTATATTACTTTACAGTTAACAAACCTTTACACACAGCACAGGCCCTGTTCAGAAATGTTCCTATATATTTACAAACACACAGTTGTACATATATACATGTTAACAAAATACAGGGCAATCTAAAAATTAGATTAGTCTCAGTACCTGTTTTTAAATGTTATTTAACCAATACCTTTAGAAATTACTTCCCACAATCTAAAATAACTCACTGCCTCACAAATTAATATGATTTCCATGTGTATTTTTCCTGATGAGCATTTACTTTCCCTCATTCCTTGACAACTTCCCTAAAGCTGACTCTGGCTCCGCCTCTGACGTAAGCCACGCTCGGCCTCCTTCCTCCGGGGTCTGGGCAGCAGAGGCTTCAGGAGTCCAGCTCCAGCTGCTCTCGGTTTTCGCTGAGTCTCAGCATAAGCTGCTGTTCATAGTAGAGGCTCTTTGCGTAGTTTATTTCCTGTGACAACTTGACAGCGAGGACCTCAGATTTCACGTGGACCTAAAGAGGAGGACAGGGTGAGTCTCCTGCCTCCAGGGTGGGGAGACTCAGGAATCAGATCCACCCAGGCGGTGGCTCCCAGCCCAGCTGCATCTCAGGGTGGGATGAGTGCACGTCAAAGATACAGAGATGCCGGGGCCTGCTCCCAGTTCACCCGTACTCACAAGTCTCGGGTGGGGTCCTGCAATCTGTCTTTTCAAACATTCCCCAGGACTGTGCAGCCAACCCATACTCACCTGACATTTGGGAAACTACGGAACCGATCTCCAGAGGTGAGACCAACAGCAAGAATGTGGGATTCACATCTAAGGTCTGGTGACGGCCGATGAAGGAAGAATAATTGGCGAACAAAAGCCTGTAGGTCTTTCTTACCACAAACACCTCCCTGCCTACCTGCTTAAAAAGGGGCAGAGGTATAGTGGCCAAGGCTGCCCACCTGCTACAGTGAAGGGATCTGGAGAAATACTCACACTTTGGGGTGCTCACTCTCTTCATCAGCCAGTTCTAACTGAAGCCAGTGGCCCCGGGGGAGCCTTCCTCAAGCCCAAGTGCATTCCTGAGCAAGGGGCGGGGGCCGAAGGACTCCAGAAGAGAGAGGCCCAATGAGGCGAAGCTATTTCTGATCCACGGAGAGAGCAGAGGTGGGCAGGCCCTTTTGATTAATGAATAATGCTTGAATTCGAGTGTCAAAATCCTGGCATCCCAGGTGACAATGAGCAGGACTAACACCTGGGTGCCATGACAAGCCACCAGGGCAGACTGGCCAGAGACAGCACAGCAAGGGGCTCTGCAGCTGGTGTCAAGCCATTTGGATTTGAACCCTAGCTCCTCAAGTTGGCTGTGTAGCCTTTTTTTTTTTTTTGAGACGGGGTCTCGCTCTGTTGCCTAGGCTGGAGTGCAGTGGCGTGACCTTGGCTCACTGCAACCTCTGCCTCCTGGGTTCAAGCAATTCTCTGCCTCAGCCTCCTGAGTAGCTGGGATTACACCACACCTGGCTAAGTTTTGTATTTTTAGTTGAGATGGGGTTTCACCATGTTGGTCAGGCTGGTCTCGAACTCCCGACCTCAGGTGATCCACCTGCCTTGGCCTCCCAAAGTGCTGGGATTATAGGTGTGAGCCACCGCGCCCCGCTGGCTATGTAGCCTCGAATGAATAACCTGCCCTCACCAATAGTGAAGTGGGGAAGACAGTAGCACAGTTCTCAGACAACCCACAAGACACCAGCCCCCCAGGAACATCAGCGACTCACAGGAGCTTTATTATTTAAAAGCTTTGTCATAACAATGTCTGGTCCCCTTTGGAAGCAAAGTATAATTTTTATTTATAAGTACTTATTGCACATGCTATATACTACTTCTATGCACAGAATAAACGTTCCTGTTTCCCGCGTTAAGGAGAAACGATGGAGAACCCAGTGGGAGCTCCAGCGTTTTCTGCGATTCAGTGCACCGAAGAATCCCAGTTGAGGAGCAGACAAGCCCTGTGTGTTGTGTTAGCTGTTTCTTACCACCAACGAGCATAAGTATCGTTCCCCTCACTACATCAATGGGTAACTGAGGCACAAACGTGAGGCAGTAACGTTCCCAGGGGCATCCACGGGCCAGCTGGGAGGGCAGCATCACCGCGGGAACATACCCTGGGCCCCTCCCACGTTCAGGACTGAGAGGCAGCACTCCCGGGAGGGCCCGGCCTGAGTGCCTGCTGAAGAGGGGGAAGCAGGGTGGACGCACGGGGCCCGTAGGGGCCTGAGAACAGGCCCGCGCACTCACCATCGGCTTCTGGTGGGAAGGGCCTGGGATGGACACGCCACTGCTTGTGCTCACAGCCTTCTTGGTCACCTGCACGTACACTTTCCCATGGTCTTTGGAGACAAGGCAGTGGTAGAGGTCATCGTATTTGACTTCTAGGAAAATGGCTTCTCGGTCCACGTAGTCTCCACTTTTCAGGAAGTAAACCGCTTTGGAGGAGATGAGCACGCAGTAGCTGTCAATGTTCTCCACGGCGATGAAGCTGCAAAGCAAGACGGGAACACAGGAGTGACACCCGCGCTTCGCCCAGTGTCAGTGGAGGACCACTGCGGGCTCTGTGGCTCCGGGGCCTGAGTGCGAATCCAGACCCCCTCGCTCACTACACCTCGGGCAGGTGGCTTCATCACGCTGAGCTTCGGCTTGCTTTTTTGTAAATTAGGAACAAAAGCGAGACTGGCCTCAGGGGGCTGTTGTGAGGTCCATGGCCATGGCACCCCTCACCCCTCCATAGGACGCTCAAGAAATGTCAGACCATCAACCATTTCAACAATAGAAATAATTTTACATCCTGAAACTGTATCTTGTGGGGTGTTTGCATGTCTGGATAGCTTAAAGCTTACAGAAAACTGTAATAATGCTCTATTGGACACGACGGAAAACATGATGCCTTTCAATATGAAACTGAAGGAGAGCCGGAACCAAAGGGGAAAAAGCAGCATTAAACAGGTTCAGCAGGCTGGGTATGGTGGCTCATGCCTGTAATCTCAGCACTTTGGGAGGCCGAGGCAGGTGGATCACGAGGTCAAGAAATTGAGACCATCCTGGCCAACATGGTGAAACCCCGTCTCTATTAAAAATACAAAAATTAGCTGGGCATGGTGGCATGCGCCTGTAGTCCCAGCTACTTGGGAGGCTCAGGCAGGAGAATTGCTTGAACCCGGAGGCAGAGGTTGCAGTGAGCCGAGATCGCGCTGCGCCACTAAACTCCAGCCTGGTGCCTGGCGACAGATCAAGATTCTGTCTAAAAAAAAAAAAAAAACCAGGTTCAGCAAATGGCACACCATGAAGAGATGGCCTGGTGTTCAAGTACTCGCATGGCCGCATCTGCTTCCTCCCTCCCAAAGCTCAGCACGTCCGGGGACAGGATGCTCCTGTCCACTTCAGGTTCAGAAAACTCTCAGAGTCAGACAACACTTTCTTGGGTGAAGCTATCATCTTCGTTTTTGAAACTCTTGAGTTGTTACTTCAGGAGCATTAGAGCCACTCTGAAAAAACCCAATTCCTCTATCATGGAGCTCACATAATTGAAGTAGAAATTTATGCATGTCAAAACTCTCTGGCCACTGAATGGAGACCAGTGAACCTTGGGAACAGCGTGACAGTTCCCTGGGCCTGGCTGCCTCCCCTGCATCTTGTGACAGCCCTTCACAATGGGGCTGCAGTGTCCAGCGGCAGTGGAAACGGATAAAGGCTGACGACAGAGTGGCGGTCGAGCTCCCGCTGCCAAACGGAACTGCTCAGAGCCCAGCACCACCTGGAAGTGTTGTTATGAAACCTGGGTCCACAGCCGCATTGTTCCCAGGCCCTCTGAAGGAGGCAGAAGCCCGGGGGGTCACCTGCCTGTCGCGGGTAACAGGCTGCTGGGACCCCCACTCACTTGGGGTCCATGAGGACGCACATCTGCTCTCTCAACTTCTCTACAGCCCATCCCCTCCCCGCAAGGATCACAGGTCCCAACCTCTCTGTGAAGCCACCCCCACATACTCCAGCCCCCTCTCCACTTTTGAGCATTTAATTGCGATGCCCCCAAAGCACAGCCAAGCACCAACTCGTTCTTTCCACGTGTCCCGGATAAGTCTCTGCTCTCTGCCTGCAAGGTGAGCCCCATAAGTGGGGTCCATATCTCACAGCCCCGTGTCTCCCTGAGCACCCCACGGAGTTGGCTGCCCCATCAGCACTCAGTAAGTATCTGCCTTGTTCCAGTGCCATTTTAATTACAGACACCTGTGACAAAAACTGGGGCTTATCGTTCTATTCTAACTGGTTGTCAATGCCAAGAATGTAGACTGGTAAAGTCTCAATGCCAGAATTAGAAAGACCCGCAGCCATCAGCGTTCAGGCCACTCGGCACGGACAGTCTCATATCTAGCACTCTGACAGCATTGAGCACAGCATTGTCACTGAACAGAGTTAGATGGAATCTGAAATAGCTGGTCTGGGGAAGAAGGGAGGGCATGGGGACAGACAGAAAGACAGACTTAGAGGGATAAGGATGATCCTGCAGAGAAGAGGCGACATGGTGCCAGCCAGAGCTGGCAGGGACCCGAGCTGAGACCCCGGAGCAGCCTACACTCCTGAGCACTGGAGGGCCTGGTGCACAGCCCCTGAGGCCATCATGGGCTCTCCAAGAAGACTCCAGAGTTGGCCACCATGATTGGTGACAGCAGGAATGTGTATGAAAAATCCAACTGAGATTTGAGGTCCTTTCCTCTAGGTGAGTATGGTACACACACTTCCACCCCACTGCCTAGCCCTCAGCCCCTAGCACCACCCCACTGGGCACTCGCCATAGCTAACATTTGCATGTCAGCCAAGGGCTTTCCATCTGGGCAGCTTGCTCTCACACCCAGGCCAGAGTGGCCAACACGACCAGTGTGCTTTCCATCCTCGAAAACTTCTGCAGGCTTTAACACAGACTCTTCCAAGATGCCCCAGATGCTACAAGTCTTCCTTCAGGCCAGAACCACTTCTGGAGGAGGGTGGCTCTGAGCCAGGATGCCCTCCGGAAGGTAGAGGGCACAGCGAGGGAAACACAGGCCGAGTGGCAGGAAAGCCTGGCCTGTTGGCTGACTCTGGCTGAGTCCGCTGCCTTCTTAGGAGCTCAGATCCCTTCATCTCTCTGATGGAGATGGAAATCCCTGCCAGCTTTCTTCACAAAGTGAGAACAGAGGTCAAAGAATTCCTGGCCATACAGAAAGGTAAGCAGAGGAAGGCAGTGCTGTCAATCCCATGGATCTTTGTCCCTTAAGTCAAGGGCCCTGTGCGTGCCCTGAAGCTGCTACTGATAGGAAATAACACATTTTTGGAAATTTGCATGAAATGTTCTAAAGTCTTTTCAAATCAAAAGCAGATCAGAGCCAAGGGTCTGGCTGAAGGAAGGAGAAAGGAGATAGTGAGGCCACAGCCGGAGCTGGGCAGTTACCCCAGGGACCAGGTAGCCACAGCTGTGTCCCCAACGTCCTCCTCCATTTTCCTGCACCCACAGTGGCCAGGGCTTTGGGCTGCATTAATAATTAATTATTATTATTATTTTTTTAAATTACAAAATCTGGCAACCATATCAAATAATAATTAAACAGCTCCAGACCAGACCCCTTATCTAATGGAGCCCAATCCCAAACTTGTTACTCTGAGAGAAGCAGCAAAGCTCAGGGTGGTAAGCAAAGCCTGGCAAACGCAGCATGCCCCCCGCCCTTCCCTGCTGCCCCTGTGCACCTTCCTCCGTTCCCTTTCCCTAAAGCCACAGGCCATTCCCCTCCCTCCCTGGCCTAGTTCTCCCAGGTTTTCCTTTGCCTCACTTGAGCTCCTGGTGCTCACACTGCTTTGCAGTCTCGACCCGGGCTCTCCTCTCTTCACTGCCCTTAGAATCAAGCTTCCCACAAGGCCTACTTTTGGTCTACAAATGAGTGACTGTTGGAAAAACCTCAAGGGAAGAATGCCACCATGGTCTCAGGTGGTCCTGAGCACACTCCTTGTGTTCTCTGTTATTAACTGAGAGGGAAGGGGAACAAAAAAGTGCAGCCAGAAACACACAGCATCCAGATAAGCTTTATCCTTCAAATCTGAGACCTAGAGAAGTCACCCAGTATTTGGCTGACACATTTTAGGTTGCTGTAGATACTATAATTGATTCTATTTAAAAAATAGGATTTTTATACTATTCTTAAACCTCGGTTAAAAGTTTTAACTCTTGGGGTGGAGCATGGTGGCTCTCACCTATAATCCCAGCACTTTGGGAAGCTGAGGCAGGAGGACTGCTGGAGCCCAGGAGTTCAAGACCAGCCTGGGCCACATGGTGAGACCCCATCCCTATTAAAAAAAAGAAAAAGTTTTAACTCCCCTTTAAGGAGAGTAAGAGGATACTCTGGTCTTGGGGGTTAGTGTCGGAAAGTTTCTTCTGAGGGAAGGGAAGGCTGTGGCACTGCTACACCCTTTTCCAAGATGACAGGTGCTAAGAGTGGGTGAATCTGGCAAAAGCCAATGCCACCAAAGTAGACCCCACCATAAACCATGAACCACAGGGCTGAAGCAGTCCCACCATAAACCACAAACCACGGGCACTGTCAACAGCAGCCACGGCAACACCGACAGCAGCTTCAAGCCTCCTCTGGGGCAGGTAACAACGTCCTCCCAAATCACTCAGTAGCCTTGCCAGGGGAGCTGGCCGCCCTGGTGCCAGCCGCCTCCGCCTCTCACTTTGCCCGGAGTTCCCCATCCTGATGTGTAGAACCCCATTGGTCTACTCTGCAGGGCCACTGTGATGCTGTGAGCTAATCCACATGCCCCACACAGAAGAGACCCGAAGTTGATGGTGGCTCTTCTGTTGAGAACAGGTGCCTAGCTATCCCAAACCTGTGGGGGATGACCCCTCCTTCCCCCACACATCCTCTCATCAGCAGATTGGAGAAAGAGATGTCCCTCTAATAGGCCACATGGAAAACAGGCTCATGACCAACTTCTCTCAGGGAGAAACCTGCGAAGTAACTGTTTCAGACACTCTACTTGACTTTTCGCCTGCTTTTTTTTTTTTTTTAAGCTATATTAACTCATTTATATATCTGATTCTACCTCCTCTGGAGTCATTTCAAAATCGGAAACATTCTGAGTCGCCTGA